TTTTCCAAAAGACAGTCTTTCTCATAAAAACAAAATAGAGATTTTTGACAGACACAATTGTTCTTTAGCTGACAATCATGTATAGCAGATCACTAATTTTATAACTTAGGGAGTATTTACAAACATTCTGTTGTAAACAAATTAGATGTGTTTTCTTGCTTTTTTTAAAGGGCTGTACTGGATAACTGACAGATCTAAATGTGCTCCTGGTATAGAATTTGGGCACTTGAACACCCCACTTTTTTCCTAATAGAGCAATTCAAAAACTTACTAATAAAAATCTTGGACCTACCTGCAGACAGACTTTGGTCCATCTTCTTGAAACGCTGAATGGACATCTGTCTATCCAGGCATGTGCCCCAATTAGGCTTCTAATTTTTCCACCAAGAAACATCAACCTCCTTCTTGGTTAACTGTGAAAGCATATGGATCTGCCCTTAATCAGCAAGAAATACTGATTATAAGGTCTTTTTAATGAACATAATCTGTTTTAATATTATATATAATGATTATATACTCTACTAATCTTGTTAGACTTTTACCAGAAACTTAGTTTGCAGCCTATTCAATTCCTCTGTCTACTATAGTCCAAATTCTTCCCTGAGTAATGGTAGACAAATAATGTACTTAAACCAGATGTTTATTCCTGCATTACTATTTGATATTATGTCTTTACTTTTGAAGGATATGACAGTGAGTATGTTTTTAAGAATGCCATCCTTCATACTAGAGAATTTCCTTTAAAAAAGCACAGGGAAGAAAAACTTAATTGACTCTTCACCAAAGTTGTGCTCCTCTGGATGAGAATTAAATGTCATACTTTAGTTAAAATTATGGGCAAATTATTAGTAATTGCAAAGGTAATCATTGATAACATCTATCAACTTCTAACATCACTGTAAAATAGAGGTGTGGAATCTTTTTTTCTATTGAAAATCATTGCTACACAAAAAATTTAAAAAGAACATTCAAGCCAAAAACAATTTAAATATTCTTAAATGTTAACAAGAACACAGAATATCCAAAAATTATAATATTTCTGTTCCAGATTATGGGCATTACAAAGAGCAAACAGAGACACAGCAATATGCTAATATCAAGAGAGTGACAAAAAGAATTCAAGACATTAAAAGAAATTATGGGAGAGAGCCACTCAAGGGAAGGCCAATATTTAAGCTCTTTCTATTAACCTGAGGTGTATGAATCTAAAGTAGTGACTACATTTTGCTGTGTTTTTCAAAGAAGCTAAATTTATGGTACTGTCCTGCCCAATAACCTTTATTGGCCATGCCTGCTAGGTCTTCGGGATCCTCCATGCACAGTTTCCAAATCATCCCCTATTACCCTGTTACCTTAAATTTACCACCAAATTGAATTTCTAAACACACTGTTTTTTATTTTAAACTGTACTTTAAGTTCTGAGGTACATGTGCAGATCTTGCAGGATTGTTGCATAGGTACACACATGCCATGGTGGTTTGCTGCCTCTTTCCCCCCTTACCCTGTCACCAACATCAGGCATTTCTCCCACTGTTAAGCCTCCACAACCTCCCCATCCCCCCACTGTCCCTCCCCTGGCCCCCCAACCCCAACAGACCCCAGTGAACATACTCATTTTCTAACCTCAGTGCCCTCCATCTGCCATTCATTCTACTTTCTGAGAAATGCGCAGAACTCTAAATATTGTCAAACCATGACCCTATTGGGACCATACCAAATGGTCTATATCAAAGTTAGAAGTTCTCAGTATTTTTCCTCCAATCACATTCACTGCTCCCTTTCTCCTTTAATTATAATTGTTTATATGCATCTGCTCCACCAAATAGATTCAGGTAGCACTCATTTCCCTCTTTCTTTTTTTTAAATTGTCTTCCCAGCTTAGCACAATGATTGAATGCCAAATAAATAACTGTTAAGGATTTTTACCAAAAACCACCTCTTTCATGAAAGACATTTGGATCAGCTATTCTCAGTTATTCTGGACTTCATACATGTATTCTGGTGAAGAGCAATTTCATTTTAAAGAGATGTAATATTTCATGATCAAATGAAGTAACTGCTTTCCTCAAAAAGAAAAAATGCTGGATTGGGTGCAGTGGCTCACATTGGTAATCCCAGCACTTTGGAAGGCCTTGGTGGGAGGATTGCTTGAGCCCAGATTTGAGACCAACCTGGGCAACATAGTGAAACTCTGTTTATACAAAAAATACAAAATTAGCCAAACATGGTGACGTGCACCTGTGGTTCCAGGTTACTTGGGAGGTTGAGGTGGGAGGATTGCTTGAGCCACGGAGGTTGAGGCTGCAGTGAGCCATGATCACATCACTGCACGCCACTCTGGGGGACAGAGCAAGACCCTGTCTCAAAAAAAAACTGTAAAACAATTTACGATTATAGTCTTCATTCTGTACTCTAGAAATTCTTGAATCAGAGAATTTCTGAAATCAGAAAATTCTAAAGTGGTCAAAGTCTTTAGGCTTACCTTTAAACTGTCAGTTCCTTCTGAATACTGCAGGTGTCTTCATCCTTTCCACATGCTGCAATCAGTATTTATGATAAGAATTTCCAAGGACTTATTTGGGCCGCAGTTGACAAGGCTGTTTTATAATACAAGGAGCACTGGACTGGAAGTTAGCAGATTAGGTTTTTGCTCTGACTCTACAAGTTACAATCAGAGGAATTTCTCTTTCTTAGTCAGTAAAATGAGAGATTTTGAAAGTATTCGTTATTTCCAAATCGATGAGGGGTTTTGAAAAGATCAATTATTTCCAAATTTTGTTGTTTGGAACAAAATTCTAGGGCAAATAGCATGGGATGTTAGTTCAAATGGACCTCCTCTGCTTTCTAACATCACTGTCCCCCTATAGCTTTATTTGTTCATACTAATATCCTAAACACTGAAAATAATTTAAGAATAAAATATCTAATATAAATATACAAAGAGGTACATTTTTCTTTCAAAATCATAAACCAACTGTATAAACAAAGACTTTGTTTCAGCTCTACTGTAATCTTGTTAACAGTAATCTTGTTAACAGTATGGCTTATGTTAACTAAATATGTTAAAAAGAAAAAGTTTAGTCAAGAGCAAATCATCTAACAAATATGGACCTAAAGTAAATCTCTCTAAGGAACAAACCAGATAGATTTAACAAATGAAATGAAAGGCAGAAATATTGGGCCTGCTCAAACTTAAGTGAATGTATCAAAAGCCAAGACTGAAAAGAACGTAACTGTTAGGAATATGTTTAGCCATCTCTGCAGGATTAGTTAATAAGATAACTTAAATGCCACCCAAAGTGATTCTTCAGATAGTTGATAGCAATTGTTAAGGAAAAGAGTTAGTAGGGCTGGGCATGGTGGCTCATGCCTGTAATCCCAACACTTTGGGATGTCAAGGTGGGCTGATCACCTGAGGTCAGGAGTTTGAGACCAGCCTGGACAACATGGTGAATCCCCATCTCTACTAAAAATACAAAAATTAGTTGGACATGATGGCGGGTGCCTGTAATCCCAGCTACTTGGGAGCTGAGGCAAGAGAATCGCTTGAACCGAGGCAGCGGATGTTACAGTGAGCCAAGATCGTGTCGTTATACTCCAGCATGGGCAACAGAGGGAGACTCCATCTCAAAAGAAAGAAAGAAAGAAAAATTTGTAGCAGTTGCTAGGAACAAAAGGTAAAAATGCTGGTTTAACAACTGGTACTGTAAAATCACAGTCTAGAGACGCATTAACATACTGCCATTCTAAGTCACGCATGAGAAACTACAAAATACCCATTTCAAACTCTCTCAGGATATATTGGATGACAAAACTTAGCCATTGTTCAAATTTATCTAATGAACAGCTGCTCTAGCTGTTGGAATACATTTTCTAGACATGAAGTCTACCCCTAATATTCTACAGATGCCAAATACTAGCCCATTTGTGCCAGTCCCATCAGGGAAGAGAGTATCATATAGTACATAAGTGGGGGGAAAGCTATGTGGGGCAAGAGAATGATAGCAAAACAATTAGAAGACTAAATACTAGTGAAGTAATAGTGAAATCTAAAGAAATTTTGGCTGGCTCAAACTTGTAAGTTTAAACCTATTTTCCTGTAGGAAAAAAGTTATAAATGACAGTAGATTACTAGGTGAAAAGAAAGGATTTTTCAACCAAGTGATGATAAAATCAGTTTTGTAAGCTCCATAATAGCTTTCAAAAACATCTATTATAAAGTGAAAAACATTTAAATATCCATAAATGTTTGAATTTGTTCAATAGACATACAAATGGATAAAGGGTATATAAAAGAGGCCTCAGAAAACATGGTGAATTCATTTGATAACAAAGTATTGACTGTGGTACCTTTCTTCTATGGCACTCTTTGGTTGACATGTGATGCGTTGTTTTAGATTATTTCCTCAGTAGAAACAAGTACCTCATCCGTCACTTTATAGATGGATTCATTAATCACTATTGCCATTTCTACTTAATTTAATTATGTCTTTTATTTGAGAAGATTGAAGTCCACAGTTCATAAAACCTCTGTTTTAGTAGCATGTATGTTTGAATAAATAAGTATTTATGAAAGATTCTAGTTTCTTTGATGCAAAAGTTCAAATACTAATACAATAATTAAATCTTCATACTTTAAACATTTTACTGCATATATTTTGGCATAAAATTATGGCTATATTAGGGTAAAGGTGTACTTTTACTCTACATGTTACTTTACTGTTCTTAACATAAAAACCTTTAAATTTTTTTCAGTATAGAACCAGAATTTAGAAAATAAAGTTGTTTTTAGAATGCTTAATTAAAATATAAGAGTAACGTCAACTTTTTTCTTTTTTTGGCCTGTGTTTTATATTTATTTTATTAATATACTTCTCTATATCATAGAATTCTATTTTAAAATAAATTGAATTACTTTAGTTGTGTAAAAATGTTTGAGTAAAAACTTTGAAGTTCTTAAAAAGTTGACTGAAAACTTGTTTTGTAATTGGTGTCTTTAGATCCGAAGGCAGAAACCAGGTTATATATCACAGTCAATGACTTTGAATTTCATGTCTATAATCGTTCGGATCTTTATGGACGCCTTCAAGAGCTGTTTGGTTTGGAGCCAACAATAATTCCACCCAAGAAAGAAGATGATAAAACACGGGAAAATGGAAGAACAAGAACCCAATCAAAAATTGAAAGGTTCAGTGTCATACTTGAATTTTATTAATCTCTAGCATTTAAACATTTGCCTTTATTAGAATATCATTGAGGCTCTGCACCTAATCAGAGTATAATGTTACTTTGCATATTAACTCAAACTTTTAGTAACATAAATAATTATATAAATATTTTAGAAATTGAGATAATATGGAATGTGTAATCAAAAAAAGTTCTGTTCTATTCCCTGCACACTAATCCTACTTGTCTCCATATTAATAACTACTATTATCAATTTAGCTTTTATCCTTTTGAATGTATGTACGTAAACATACACATACATATTTAAGGTACATATATAAATATATGATTTTGTTCTGTGTGTTTCTAAACATTTATGTTTAGAATACGTACCTCATATAGTGTGTACTGTTCTGTAATTTGCTTTTTATTCAGCAGTTTGTAAGATCATTTTGTATTTGTATATGTAAGTCTGCTTTTAAAAACACATATCTGTTGTATATGTAGGTCTACCTACAAAAATATTCTAGAACAGGATCAGCAAACTTGGACCTGTAACACAAGTCTAGCCCACTGCCTGTTTTGTAAATAGAGTTTGATTGGGCCAGAGCCAAACCCATTTATTTGTATATTATTTATCTATTTGGTGAATTGCTGTGAAATTTTCATTTCTTAATATTTTTGTACTTTGTATATGGCCAGCTTTCTTACTCTTGGCTTATTGTTTTCATTTCATTAAGGGAAAATTAATTGGCACAAGGCATTTGGGTGAAGGAAGGAAGAGGAACAACTGGATTGTTTTCAGAAGTGCTTAAAACAGTAGAAAATCACCAAAGGGACTTGTACCTTAGTCATTTATGTTTTAATAACAACTTTGGCTGTCTTATAAAATGTCATATAGTTACATAATGGACAAAATGGTAGATGTAATGATGGCATATCATCCCTTATAGTTTTGTCATTCTAAAAACATAGTTTTGTTATTATAGCTTGTCCATCTAAAAGTTGATATGATAGAGTGCTCCAGTAGACAGCTTTAGGAACGTTAGTATTCCTTCAGATGATCACTGCTCTGTTTACTGAAGTAGTCATTAGATGCATTTGGAAAGGTACAGCTGATATTAATAATATAGTCAGGAAGTGAACTATGTCCCCTTCAGTTATTTTTTTTTCTTATTCATGTCAGTTTTATTTTTTTCTTGTTAGAGTTAAAGTAAAAACAGAATCCCAAGATCCCACATCTTCATGGAGATCACTTATTCCAGTCATAAAGGTCAATGTGAGCACAGTAAGTAAATTCTACTATAATTACTGTTTCATGGGGTAGTAATGTAGAACTTTTAATTTTTGCAAATGTGATTTTAATGTAAGAAAATTAAATAATTTTGTTTTTTTTTAGTTCCTATGTCTGTAAAGTGTGAGGGAAATAATTATTTTAACATCAATACTGTTTTCTGACAAATTTGTGTTTAAATTTAAGTACTTAAATTTTCTTTTAAGTACTGGTTTAAATTGACCAATGGAATAATTTAAATAGCACATACTCCGAAAGTAGAATCATTTAGCCATTGTTTGAAAATGTTATAGTTTAGCTAAAGAAAGAAATATGGCCAGAATAGCATGATATAATATCTCTTACCCTTTTTTTTTTTAGGGACGTTTGGCCTTTGGAAATCATTACCAACCACAAACTCTGTGCATCAATTTTGATGATGCTTTCTTAACTTATACTACAAAACCACCTTCAAGTCATCTTGACCAGTTCATGCATATTGTGAAAGGAAAACTTGAAAATGTTCGAGTCATGCTTGTTCCTAGTCCAAGATATGTTGGTCTTCAAAATGATGAGTAAGAAAATCTTATAAAAATAATAAAAAAACTTATTATAGCTAATATAGATACAGCTAGAACCTTTAACATCTTTTTAATTTTTTTGCTACAAATGGTACAAAAATTAGTATATTTCTCTATTAAAGCAGTTAACCGTGTAGTCCTTCTTTATAGGATAAATGGATATGCTATCCAGTGATAAACTCTAATTTTAAATATTTTTTCTGCATGATTATAACTATAATTTTTTTACCCTTTTCTCTTAATTGTATTTTGGAAACTTATTTTGGGCAATTAGCTCCTGTTTGTATGTTAGGAGTTACACATTACAGGTAGGTTTTTGTTTCTAGAAGACATGAATAAAGAGTAAATTGAGGCTGGGTGCAGTGGCTCACACCTGTAATCTTAGTACTTTGGGAGGCTGAGGTGGGTAGATTGCCTGTGCTTAGGAGTTCGAGACCAGCCTGGGCAATACGGGGAAACCCCGTCTCTACTAAAACATACAAAAGAAATTAGCTGGGTGTGGCAGTGTGCGCCTGTAGTCCCAGCTACTTGGGAGGCTGAGGCAGGAGAATTGCTCGAACCCTGGAGGCAAAGGTTGCAGTGAGCCGAGATCGCACCATTGCACTCCAGCCTGGGCGACAGATCAAGACTCTGTCTCTAAAAAAAGAGTAAGCTGAATAGTTTCATTAGGGTGGAATACCATTTTGAGTTCGTAAAAGTTGAAAATTGAATTGAAATTACTCTTGAAAAATTTGGTGAGGTTTAGATGGTACAGTTTTGAGACCCATGTGACATTTCTTTAAGTTCTAAACTGTCAGTTTTCCATCTAACTTTGCAGATTTTTTTTTCCTTCAGTGAAGTAGCTGTTTGTATTTTTTAAGACTCATTATAGGAATGATGTACACTCACTTAGTGTGGTGGGGTGCTAAGTGGGAGAATGATGGGCTCTTGTGATTTTTATGTTTTTTTCTCAATTTTTTTGTGTGTGTAACAGATACTCCGGTTGGATTTATGTAGTTTAAGTGTTCATATGGAGAGTTTCAGTATGGTGTCTCAGCTTTTATCTTTGTGTGTAGGCATCTTATGAGGCTATATTTGAAACATGATTATTCCTTTTTAGTTCTAACTCTTGGCTGGCCTAGTGTTAGATTTTTCCAGGACTTGGCTAGAAATAGAGAGGGTTTTTCCTTTATGAGTATCATGATGACCTTGGCTTTAGATCATGGACTTGGTTAAGCAACTTCTGGAATGTGGACTGTGCATACAAATCTGTGCGAGTAAAGGAATAATACTGAATACATTGGGATTTTTTGGGAAAAATTATAGAGAGTAAGACGGAAAACTGTCTTGCTATTAATAATTTGTGTAAAAAGATTTAAAATTGTATTTTTCACTCATTAAAAGTAAGTGTGGAGATTACATGATGAGATTAAACATTAACCTTTGTGATTTAATACCTATTTAGAAAAAAATTGCTGTTTTTGCATTTAATATTATCTAATGATTGAGAAGTTAATTTTGATATGCAAGAAGATACCGTGATGTGTGACAAAGAGAAAAGTTGTTTAATCAAAGCAAGCAAAGATTGATGGTTTGTGGGAAATTATTGATGGTAGAAAAATGTTCATTCCAGAGTTAGAGTTCATGATGTTTGCTTTAGATTTATTTCAAGTTGATTAAATATTTGTGAAAATACATAATGTGAAGAAAAAAATGACATTTTTTCTAGATGATTTTGAATGCTTACAGTTTATTATACAGATAGATAAAATGATACTTATTATTTAGTTTTTAGTGTTATTAATATAAAATCATCAAATTTTATTTTAGTTTTGTTGTAGAATGTAGAATATTATTTTATTCCAGTGATCATCTATTGTATTTAAACTTTGTTTTAAATCAGTTTCTCTTATTCAAAAATGAAGGAAAAACATAAAACCAAATTTTTTCTTCCCCAATTTTTTTTTTCTTGAACTAATTTACTGATAAATTTTCAGTATCATTTTATTATTGAGTCTAATATAGAATAGAACTATGGAATAATTTGTTAGTATGGTTATTCGTGTGAAAGATGTTTTTCTCTCTTTTCAGGATGTTACTTGTTATATACTTTTTAGTTTTTTTTTTCTTTTTGTTTTCACCTATTGCAACCATTAACTAGTATACTGAACATTTTATATTCTGGAGATTTGTTTAGTTTGCTTTCTCCTCCACCTTTTTATAGACCACCGAGATTAATGGGAGAAGGTTTTGTGGTGATGCAGTCAAATGATGTTGACATCTACTACTACATGGATGAGCCAGGTATTGTTGTTTTGTTGCTATTTTTTTAAATGTGACAGAGTCTCACTCTGTCACACAGGCTGGAATGCAGTGGTATGATCATAGCTCACTATACCCTTGACCTTCCAGGCTCAAGCAATCCTTCTGCCTCAGCCTCTTGAGTTGCTAGGATGACAGAAATATGCCATCATGCCTGACTAATTTTTAAAGTTTTTGAGGAGACGGTATTTCGCTATGTTGTCCAGGCCGATGTCAAATTCCTGGCCTCAAGTGGTCCTCCTGCCTCATTCTTCCAAAGTGCTGGGATTGTAGGCGTGAGCCCACAGTACCTGACCTGTTTTTTTTTTTAAAAAGTATGTTTCATAGCTACAATTCTATTTCTTCTATGAAATGCTGATATCTAGTAATATTTTAAATCTTCTTGCTTAGGCATCAGGAAATGGTAAATGTAGGTATGAGTGAAAACATCTGAAAAATATCTGTGTTGTTTCTCAAAACTTGAATATTAATTTAGTATTATGGACTAAAATAGAACATTATTTTTTTCAAATTCGGTTTTCATAGATATACCTCAAAAATTGAGAATGCAGATGATCATGAGTGAAAACCTTTAAAGAATAGAGTGATAGTTAAGGTAGTTTATCTTACCTTAGAAACTTAGTATGTTAAATTTGAGACTTAAAGTTTAAAGATTGAAATCCATTTAGTTAAAATTCTTGACAGGTGGCTTCCATTTTATAAAAGTATCTAAGCATTGGATTTTAAGCTCTTTTTTCATACTTCTTCTCTTTTTATACCTTTCAGAGTATAAAAGTATTTAAGGTCAAAGTATTTTGAAAGTAAAGCTAGGTTGTTATTTGCCTTTTCACCCTGCTGACATTTGCGCTAATGGTACAGAGCAATGGTGGGTAAAACTGTTGTTGCTTTAACACTAATCAAGGCAGTGGTTCCTAATTGTACTAGTAGTCATTGAATTTTTCAACTGCCACATTCACAGTAAGACAAAATGTCAATGTCACATAAAAATTTCCTTGGTTAAACAATAGAAATTATTTATTTTATCAAATGTTGACCTTTAAGTAAAATGTTTTTAATATCTGGTGTGAGAAAATGGGAATTACACATAAAGCAGTTTTGCTGTGTACCAAAATATTCTGGTGTCTTGAGGAAAAGCATGATTGAGTTTCAAGCTGTACTAATTGCTTATTTTTTTTTTTTTTGTTTTCCATGGAGTACCAGTTTTATTTGAAAGAGAAATTAGAGACAAACTGTGATTCTGAGCTTTCTTGTGAAAATGAGAACTTTGGAAAATTTGAGTCTGCTGTTACGAGCTTGACAGCATCCCAATAGTTAACAGCTTTTATGATGATACTACCAATGATAAAGCAAGTGTGATGTTATTAAATGTTTAGTAATGAAATTGATCAACATTTAGAAAAAAATCTGCATTACTCAGTGAACTGGTATTTCCCGAACGAGCAGTGCATGATGTTATAAAAATCATGCATAGATTAAAAAATGTATTCAAAGTGCAAGATAAAGCAGTAGATTTTAAGATAACAGGGTATGAAAGGTTTAGTGATATAGCTTCAGATTCCACGTTGCAATTAACCTTTAAGAAATTTTCACTTGTTGAATTTTGGGGTAGTATCAAAGAAGAGTATCAAATTATCTGAAAAAGCTATTAAAATACTTCCCGCTTTTCTATCTATATATATGTATAAGGCCAGATCTTTTCCAAATCCTTGAATAACAGATTGAATGCCGAAATAGCTATGAGAATCCACTTGTTTTCTGTTAAGCTGGATATTGTAGATTTGCCAAAAAAACCTCTAATATGTCTCACTAAATTACTTTGTTTTAGAAAATATAGTTATTCTTCATTAAAAATGAGATTAAAATTGTATTTATTTTTTATATATTACATGCTATATTTAATTACATTAAATATTTTATTGTGTCAACATGAATTTATTTTTAAAATAATATTTTTAAAAATCACTAAATTTTAATTTTGAGCACAGTATTTTTGATAGGCATAATACAATATAAGAAAAACCTCTTTTGGGTTCTCAGTAATTTTTAAGAGTGTGAAGGTTTTCTGAGACCAAAAAATGTTGGAACTGCTGATCTAAGGAAACTTTCTAATATTCATTTAAAATAACTGCCTTTATATTGTATGTTTTGGAATATAGGACTTGTTCCGGAAGAAACAGAAGAAAATATTGAAGGAGAAATGAGCAGTGAGGATTGCAAATTACAAGACTTGCCTCCATGTTGGGGACTGGATATAGTTTGTGGTAAAGGAACAGATTTTAATTATGGACCATGGGCCGATAGGCAGAGGTACTTGAACATATTATACTTCTAACAAGTCTTCTAGATGTCTTGAGATGCCTATAATTTTAAATAAAGACTAGCTTAAAATTTTTATAAACTGTTTTATACTGGCAGAGGAAGATATCACTGAACATTTTGATCTACATAATAACTTGCTTGTGGTTTCTCCGCAAGCAAGTTTTTCAACAATGATTTCTTTGTTGATCCCCTACTATATGCCAGACATTGTTGGCACTATGGGAATTCAGAAATAAAAGACATGTATCTTTCACTTTTAGTGGGGAAGAAAAAAACCAAAAGACTAATATTAGGTGCTATAATGGAGGTAAATAAAGGGTCTTGATGAAGAACTTAGAAAAGTACTGTGCTAATTTGCTAGTGCTGCCATAATAAAGTATCACTAATAATGTGGCTTAAGCAACAGAAATTTATTTTTTCACAATTCTAGAGTCTAAGAAGTCCTCCAACAAGATGGTGGCATGGTTGGTTCCCTCTGAGGGCTATGAGGGAAGGATGTGTTCTAGGCCTCTCTCCTTGGCTTTTGGATGGCTGCTGTTTTCCAGTGTCTTCATGTGGTCTTTTCCTTGTGCAGTTCTGTGTCTAGATCATACTGTCCAGTCATATTGGATTAGGACAGCATATTCTAATGACCTCATTTTAACTTAATTACCCTTCTGAAGGTCCCCATCTCCAAATATAGTCCCATTGGGAGGTACTGGGGGTTAGGACTTCAGCATTTAGATTTTAGGGGTTAGGACTTCAACATATGAATTTTTAGGTTACTTGGTATTCCTAGTATATAGTATACAGTATATAATGTATATTAAAGTTTAGGGGAGAGAAGAATTGGGAAAGGGTTTTTGGTTGAGATAACACGTAAATTAAGTTTTGAAAGACAAGTGAGAATTAGCTAGGGAAAGAGGAGGGTGAATCATTGAGGCAAAGGAAGTGTTTTATAAATTCATGAGGACAGTAGAGAATTGTCCTATATAGTCTATAGTAGTTAAGAAGTATAGATTTTATAATGGAGGTAATGTCTATTAAGTCATTTTATTAATTTTAAAGTAGTTTTAATTTTTAATATATTATGAACGTTTTTCTACTTGAATTTTAAACAAAGGGGACATTTACCATTGATTATGAGGGGGCATCTCAGTTTTTATGTACAAAATTAGACATTGCTTAAAATTAGTTTAGTTCTTCTATTCCTTAACTAGCTTTTTTGAATAGAGAAATACAAGCCAAGTCATTTACTTGAGCAGATATTATAAGGCCATTGATAGATTAATGAAAGAGTGCTGATACTGACTTGATGTATTGACTTTTAAAATGCTTTTTAGGAAAGTGCTGTCTAGCTAGCATTATTAGAATAATTATATATTTGTCAAGTAGCATATTGTATTAATCTTGGTTTATCTGTAGTATATAGGAATACCTGCCTCATTAAGTAGCTAACCAACAATTACATGGTAAATGAATAAGCTTGTTATTTGAAAATTCTTGCATTATGCTAAAACAATACTTCATTAAATTCTGCATTAGGTCATTTGTTAAACTTTAAAGTAAACAGAGCATAAAATTTCAGGTTAGAAAGAAAATACTTTTCACATTATTGAAATTAAATTTTCCTCTTGTAAGTCATGCTATATTTGACCTGCAGGAGTTGAAAATGAGAGATTTTACATTTCATTAAGTAATAGAGCTACATCTATTTAAACTCTATTCAGAAATCTCAAGAAAAGTATTTTGTTTGGTTGGCAGAACAGTTATGTATTGTTTGAGGAAAAAAATTAATGCTTTAACATAGGCCCATGAAATATGTTTGCGTTTTTTAGCACTTGAGTAAAGTGTGATTTTTCTTTTTTTTTTTTTCCCCCATTTATTTATTTTATTGCATTTTTAGGTTTTGGGGTACATATGAAGAACATGCAAGATTGTTGCATAGGTACACACCTGGCAGTGTGATATACTGCCTTCCTCCCCATCACCTACATCTGGCATCTCTCCCCTTCTTAAACTATTTTTAATTTTATTGTGTATTTTTAATAAGTATGGGGGTATTTTTACACAAAAACCCAAACTAAAATGCAATGGAGAAATGACACTGAAGATGGAAATTTGCTTTAACAACTCCTTTCAAGTAGATTTTTTTACTGCCAGGAGAGAAGAGCAGTGCATTTCTAACCTGGACTTTAAAAAACCACTCAGGTTTATTTAAAAAGAAAAAAAAATGTATTTTTCACATGTATTTAATTCACTAATGTGAGCAGTATTTGTCTTTTCATTTATATGTTCAAATGGTCTTACGTAGCTATTTCTTCTTCTTCCCTGTATTGAATTTCTGCACAAATATGAACTGTAATCAGCAATGAATAGTAAGGTCAGTTTTCTTAGCAGCCATCTATTAACATAAGACATACAGAAGGAAATCTCAGCTGTTTTGATACTGGATAATTCACTCAGCATTGTGGGGAGTTACTGATTTCTGACAGCATGGTTTTAGCCTATAGATTTTATAATCATAACATGATCTTAGTGTCTAGGTTTTGATGTCATTTCTACTACCTTTACATGATTGAATATTGAAGATATTATTCAGCTTTTACTTCTTATTTTCTTTTTATGAATTAGAATACTGATTTTGGTCCTTATCAGAGGTAATTTTGTTTGAATAACATGTCATTATGCTTTCTACCTCCTTATGTAGAGATTGTTTATGGAAGTTTTTCTTTCCACCTGATTATCAAGTTCTGAAAGTTTCTGAAATTGCACAGCCTGGGAGACCAAGACAGATCCTTGCTTTTGAATTACGAATGAATATTATTGCAGATGCTACAATTGACTTGCTGTTTACCAAAAATAGGGTAATTATCATAATAATATAGTAGAAAATAGTGTTTAAAATTTGAACATTTTTTTTCAGAGTTTTTTTTTCTGATGACTAGTCCCATACTAGGATTAATTTTATGAGCTATTTTCCTTTCAAATAATTGTATGTATTTTACTTTCATTGTAATTTTATTAAATGTCAAATAATGGAAAGAAATTAATAGTAATAGACCTTCAGGCTATATTCTGGCTCATTTTCTCCTTTATATCTGGCTAAGTTGTTTTAGTATATTTTTGGTAAAAATTTCAACTTTTATTCTTAGAACTTTTAATACTTATTTAACATCATCAATAATTTCTTCTGTGATAATAACTGAAAAGTAAAGATGGGAGAATAATTATAATTAATGTTTTATATGAATTAATTTTTTCTTTTGGTAGGAAACAAATGCTGTACATGTAAATGTAGGAGCTGGCTCATACTTAGAAATTAATATTCCAATGACAGTTGAAGAAAATGGTAAGCTGCAACAGTTACTTTTTTAAATGATTAAAGAAATAATTATAAATAATACAGTTTGTTATCATTTTAGATTAACATTAATAAAGTTTTCTATTTCAGTTTTTTATTTTGATGTGCTTGTAGTCATTAAGGGGAAATATTATGTAATTATTTGAGCATTTAGAGAGAAGGGAAACATTTTCTAATCAAGTTCAGTCTTATAATTATATGCTTTTGTTATATCCTATGCATCTATTTTGTAGGATTGAGCATAATTTACTTAATGTGTAGTTTTCCAGTTAGACTGGTGCACTATGAGAGTAGGTGCTGTTTTGTTCTTTAGTGTATTCTCAGTGCTGAACCCTGTACCTGACATTTGGGCAGTACTTGATTGGATGAATACAAGGCTTGGTTTTAGGTTATATTGTTAGTAGATTTTGTCAGGGAGTAAGCTGTGTACTTTAAGTAGCATAACTTTAATAAATCAGAACATTTCTCAATAAAAATGTTAGTATCATCTGAGCTGAGATGGTCTAAGTTCATTATGCATTTGAAATATGGGCACTGACACAGTAATTTGAATAAATACTGTTAAATTTATCAAATTGTTATAACTTCATTTTGCCTTCTTATTTCTATATTCTTATTACATTTGTAATTGAGAGCAGTTAAGATGAAATTCTGCTTTATTTACTTTATTGAGAGTAAAGAGTAGCAACTTGCCAGCATTTTAAATTAGTTATCATCAGTGTTTCTGTTGCTAAGTATACTTCATTTTTGTGTAATTCTTAGCTCTTATTTTTTGGTTCTGTCACTTATTTTGCTGCTGTACGAGGAAAATAGGCAGAGGGTTGACTACATTGATTAGTTTACCTGAAGTGGTACCATTCAGGACTGCCTACTTAGATAATCAGTTGAAAAAGTGACTGTGAATTGCATAGTGTATCTTTTTCCCATAACTTTGGGGCTATTTTAATGAAGAACTAACCCTTATCTAGTTTATAAAAAACAATCTTACTAAGGCTTGAAGGAGATGCTTGAGATTGTCTAGGACTGCTCATTCAGAGTATGTAGTTGGAAAGAAGCATCTTTTAGAAAAGCATTACTTACAGGTGTATGATGGTGTATAAAGGCAGTTGGGAGTTGTACAAAACTGATAATATTTCAGATAAGGAAGTGTTTCCACCTTTTCACAACTGATGATGCACATAGGAAATAGCATTTTTACTGTTTTATGCTGTATTATATATACAAATACGGGTACACTGGAGTAAAGGGATCACCTGAGGATTGAGGGATTAATATCTTGAGCATATCTATTATAAATTTGTGGCAAGTACCACAGAATACTTGTTGTGTAACTCTTGAGTTAAGTGTTTAAGGAAAGCCCAGTTAGGGTTTGAGTATAGAGGTTAGGTGGCTTTTAAGATGACTGTCAGTGGGAAGATGGACTTAGGTGTCAGGCAAGAACAGTATATAACAAATAAATTTAAAACTTTTTAGAGATTCAGGTATTTGAAAAAAAAAAAAAATGCCCAGAGCAGGATGCAGGATGCAGGATGCATGTGGAACTAGGCATGTAATAGTGACCACAGAAGTAGTGTTCGTAGAAAGATTACTTTAAGAAAGGAAATGCAATACACTAAACGATTCAGCTTTTGTTGAGAATGGGCTATATTGCTGAGAAACTGTCATTACTTGAGGAGAATAGCTGTTATTCAGTAATTGTCATTATTTGAGGAGTAGTTGAAAATGTTGAAAATATGTACCCTTGAGTCAGTGGAAGAAGAAAAAGAGTTGTCTTCTGTAACCAAAAACTATTGTTTAAAGAATAAACTCGTAGTTTTTCAAACTACAAAGGAAAGCAAAATGAGAATAGATATTATATGGAGTTGGAACTTTGTTCCTTTAGAGCAGCCTATATGAGAATGATCACCTATTAAGTTAGCAAGCCCCCTCTCACTGAGGTGTGTTTAAATAGTGACTACCAATTTTCAAGGATTCCTAATTTGGGTGTTGATAGGAGTTGGCTCCAGTCCAAATATGTTTCACTTTGTAATTTTTTTTCCTGGTTCTTAATTTTTATGTTTGTATTATTAGGTTATACTCCTGCTATTAAAGGACAACTCTTACATGTGGATGCCACTACCAGCATGCAATATCGGACTCTTCTAGAAGCAGAAATGTTAGCAGTAAGTCTGTATATGAGGATATACATACTTGTATGAAAAATACATTTGATTTTAATTTACTTATATAAAGCTTAAGTAATCAGGAAATCGTCAAATGACTCATCTTCTAGTTCAAGAATAGCCAGATGCTCTTGACCCTGTCCTAGGGAAGAGTAGTGGATTCCCAGTGCTGTGGACTCCTGTTGGCACCTCTCTCTCGCTCTGCTTCTAATATAAGGGAAGTGAATAAAAGGCAATGATACATATGTTTTTGTCCTGTAAAATATGAGAAATTGTTAGAATATTGTTTTTAAAGTTTGTTAGGTGGCTGTACTAAATCTCTTCTAAGTTTTAAGTAAGGTAATTCTTTAATATATGTTTTCTAGCCCCACTGGATTGCTTTCCCAGGGCTTAAATAATGTAATTTATTGTGCCTTTTACTTGCTGAGTAAGGTAAAGGGAAGAAAATCTTACTGATACCCTGGATTGTTCCATATTAGAAAGAGAAACAATATGGAAATGCCAGTGATTAAAATTGCAGATTGAGACTCATTAATCAAGCAGATTATTGTTAGTTATTATTACTATCAGGGACAACACTACTAACAATCACAAAAGCCACTATGTAAAATGGTTAATATGCAGAGATTCTTTCATATAAGATGGTACCATTAAGTTCTTAATTACTTGTCTTAAGCATTTTACACATATGTAAATTGAGACAAAAATTTTGCAATTTCCAAGAATATATCAAATACCATAAGTATATTTTAAACTGTGATATTCAGTATTTTAATGAATTCTTCATCTACTGCTGATAAATAGTGCTGTGTGACAATGCTGTTTCTAGGCAGGCAGCTTTTGCTTTTGCAGAAATGCCAGACTGGGCTGTTCATGGTGACTTACACCTGTAATCCCAGCACTTTGGGAGGCCAAGGAAGCCTGACCACTTGAGGTCAGGAGTTCGAGACCAGCCTGGCCAACATGGCAAAGCTCTGCCTCTACTAAAATACAAAAATTAGACAGGTGTGATAGCATGTGTGCCTGTGATCCCAGCTACTCGGGAGGCTGAGGCACAAGAATTGCCTGAACCTGGGGAGTCTGAGGTTGTGGTGAGGTGAGATTGTGCCACTACACTCTAGCCTGGGCAATAGAGTGAGATTCTGTCTCAAAGAAAAAAAAAGAGGAGAAGAAATGCCAAACTGCAGAAATACTAATGTCACTTTTGTGACAGTATGCATTGCACTCTATCTTCCTTCACACTGAGCCTATCTCTTAACAGATGAGGCTTAAGGAGAAATTAGGGATGTTAGCTGTTACCCAATTGGTTTATCTGAAGTAGGGTATCAACACTGTAGCCTGATTTGGTTTTTTTTGAAAGTTTTTTGACCACATCTTGGCTTAATATTTCAAGGAGCTAGATGTAGCCATGTATATTGACCTACAGCCACAACGATATTAAAATCTCAAAGGTACCTTCTGTTCAGCTCAGTAGGAAAATAAGTTTTAATTACTCACTAGTGTGTGTGATTTCATTTCTAATGCTGTTCACACAGTGTCACATTTAAAGCTCTAATACTTTTACCTGACATTTGTTTTGCAGTTCCACATCAATGCCAGTTACCCCCGAATATGGAACATGCCACAGACATGGCAGTGCGAATTAGAGGTTTATAAAGCCACCTACCACTTCATTTTTGCACAGAAAAATTTCTTTACAGGTAATTTTCTAATAGGTATAAATACAGTGAGATTTATTTGTTTATATTTGGTAAGTTTTAAGTTCAACATAGGGATAGGATGACATGATTCAAACTTTTTTTAACATTTCATTTTGGGCTGAAAATATCAAAGAGAAAATTTAAATATAGACACTTTGCATTCTTTTCTAATCTAAACAAGAAAATATAAACCCCCAATTGAGCTTAGAAGGAGATGAAAGAACTCAGTTTAGGCTGGTGCTTTGTATCAGTCTATTTAGGGGGTAGAATAGAGACGATGAATCAATTTCTCTCTCTTCCCGAATTAGGCATCAGCATGGCTTCATTATTTTGTTTTAATAATTATAATCCACAACAGTATACGCAAATAGCCAAAAGTTATTTTTGAACTTGGAGCCCTTATTTAATCTTTTCTGTTGGCATGGATAATTGAGTTGGCGCTGTCACTAGTTGGAAAAAACAGTCCTTTATTTCTTGCAGCATATTTGATAGTTTTGCATATTTTGTGACTATAAGAACATGTAGTGTTGGTCTATAAATAGCATAAATATTACTAAATTAAAATAAGTGGCATTTATGAAGTCTTCTTCTAAAAAATTTAGCCCCGTAGAGTTGGTCTCATTTTCCAGGGTCAGTGGCTGTTCCACAGAAACCTAATCTTTACTTGACTGCTTACTCCATCCATCCATCCATCCATCCATTTGTTCAATAGTTGTTTTATACAAGCATCTAGTTGATGCTGAGTACTATCAGACATTTGGAGGTATAGTGGTGTTTAAGGTATACATAGGTAGTCGTCTCCTGACAATACTACTGTATAATGTTGTGTAAATGACTTCACTGTTTAAACTTCAGTTTCCTTATTTGTGAAATAGGGATGACAATTTCTACCCTAATTTTGCTATTAGTAGAGCTTTGGCCTTTTAAAATGTCTCTTAGTACAATATGTTCAATCATAAGTCTTTTGTATTTCTTTTCTGGTTTGTCTGGGAGCCTTGGGGGACTAGATAGACTGCTTCTGCTTTCCTGGAGTTACATACCTCTCCAAGGCTTGAATCAGTGTCCCAGTAGTGAAAATTTTACCAGAGCCCCTGGCAAGTTAAGCTTTTGCTAGTGAAGCTGAGCACTGAATAAGTACTTCTCAGTTCAAATTTATGAAAAAAATATAGCTAAAACTTACAGTGTGTATCATGTGTCTGGCTCTGTCCTAAGCAGTTTGCATGTATTAAATTATTGAATCCTCACAATAACTCTCAGGGATCAGTATTATTATTATCTTCCTTACTTTTTAGATGAGGAAAATAAGTTATAGAGGTGAAACAATATATGTCCATGGTCACACAACTAGTTAGTTTGTTGAACTGAAATTCTAACTCAAGTAGTCTGGCTCAGGAATCTATTATACTACTTACCTCTTTGACTAGCCTTTTCTTTCTTACTTAAGATTTTGTGTTTTTTAACTTTACTAATCTTTTAAAATAGATACCATTGTCAAGTATTTAATCCTTCACATTACTTTTCTTCCAGGCATTTCTCGTCTTTAGACTCTTGGAGTGCTAAGAATAGCTGTGGTAGAAGTATAAAGTCTTCATGATTTAAAAGTATTATTTTGTAGTAGGACTTTCATTTACACTGTTTTATTAGTTACACTGAAACAGCTAAGTACTCATTTCCTAAATTGTAACTGATTTTCCTTAAATTATTTTCTTTCTCTAACTCTAATTTGTATGCTTTCTTTATTGAAATTCATTCTTTTGTTATTTATTTTTTTATAAAATTTATTCGGAGAAATTTTAAACATAGATACAAAAGTAAACATAATCATTTTACAGATTTAACAACTGTAACATTTGGTCATATTCTGTTATTTTTAAAAGACATATAGCATAACAAATAACTGTAGAGTCCTTTTTAAACTTATTCTCTAAGAGGGATGACTACTAGAGAATAATATTAGTTTAGTATTGGAATGAGCCTACTTGGTCATAGCGTTTGGATTGCTTTCTCTATTGTCAGAATTCTATAGAAAAGAAATTATCTTTCTGATGTGAGGGAATGCCTAATATTTCTCAGCAACCACTCTCATACCACTTATTAGTAAGGTAAAATTGTTCTTAAGAGATTTCAGTGGGGACAAAGATAGCTTTATGACAAATATAGAGCCTCAGAAATGAAAGCTTATTATAAAACAAAAGCAGAAACTGAATCCTCTTCTGGGAATAATGAGATTGACTTAGATTTTCTCTGATAAGGAGGAGAAGAAAATAACATAATGGCATTGCAAAGCTCTAGTATCAATTGATTGACATTGTATAGGGTGTTTGCCTAACAACTAATGATAAGATGAGTTGTCGCGTTTTTTCAGAGTAACATTTAGCTTGCTATACCTTTTTAATTTGTTGTACAAATGAGTAAGGCAGTCATCAGGAAAGTGCTTAATTTTTCTAATCAGATTATTTGATAAGAGCATCTGGTAATGAGAAACAACTTTTGGTTTAATGACAATGCATATTAAAAAGTTGTTGAGGCTCCTAATAAAAAGATTTTGTCACCATAATTTTTAATATTTATCAATAAAGATATAGAAAATGGTAGGAAAACTATATTATAGAATGACATGTTGAAATTTTAAGTAAGTCATTAAAGAAAAAACTGATAAGTTTTATTAAAAATAGAAATAGACTAATAGTTGTAACATTTCATGTGAGTTATTAAAGAAGAAAGTAATAAGATTTGTTAAAATATATTTGGCTAATAACTTTATAAAATTATACTGGTTCCCTGAAATAAGTAGTAGATAATCTGAATTTTTGTTTAGTTTAAGTTTTGTTGATCTCACTGGCAATTATATCTCAATCTTTTGACTAATAGAAATGTAAAGTAGATAAAGTGCAACCAGTATACATTGTAAGTCTTATACATGAATAATGATTCAAAACAGACATTAAGTATGATCTCTGCCTTCACTTACGGGCATTTCTTGCTTTGTATTATTTGTCTCAAGTACATTGACCTGTGTACTAGACAGAGACAAATGAAACAATACGAGACAGTATATGTACTGAGTGCAAGTGTAAAATAAATGCAAGTGTGAAATGTGAAGCTGATAAATGCATGTAAGACATGAGTACAGAGGAAATCACTGTCATCTGAAGATGATCAGAGAAAGAAAGGAAAGACATTAAGGTCTGAAATGGTGTTTTTAAATGAACTTAGTAATATTAACTAAGATCTGATAGTATTTTGCCATTTACAAAGCACGCTCACTTTTATTATCTTCACATAACTCTAAAATAGGATAGCTGTTATGACTGTTTTTGAGTTAACAGTGAGGAACTTGGGGCATAGAAACATTGAATGACTTGGGCAAACTTATGAGGCTAGTAAGTGGAAGACATTTAAGAACAATTTTCAGACTGCAGACCCTGTGCCTCCTGTGTAGCATTATGCTGGCAATAAAGATGGTTAGTTTTTCCTTAGCGGAGAGGATATGAAAGACAGTAGTTTGACCAAAAATGCTGAACTATGAATGTTATGAGTGAGAAAATCAGCCTGATGAATGATGAGTATGTATTGTAGAGTTGGTTAAATCCAGAGATGATTTTTGGGCATTTCCCAAGTGTTAGACACGGTGCTAAAGACTAAAGTTAGAAAGTAGGATTGGAGTCAGGCTAGTTAGGTAGGGTGGCACTTAGAAGTAAAAGATGTGAAGTGACCATAGATTATGTAAAGCATGATGAATTACTGTGATTGTTAAATAAAAATATATTTAAAGTAAATTTGATAAGTGGAATTTTCCATTCTCTCAATAGAACAGGTTAATAGCCATATGCCTTTTATTATAGATGTAGTAAAACTCTTTATCTCATTAGTATTAATTTGTGATTGATATTTGACATTATGTTACTCTGCCATTTTAATAAGACAAGAGTTTCTAATACATTTGTGCTGTCTTTGTATGTGGCAGCTAAATTTTAAATGAGTTCATATGATATTATGTAAGATAAATTTACTCTGAGTTCATTATTGAATCTTTTTTTTCTGTTGAAATATCACCTTCAAAATACAAAGAAAACTACTTTAAATATTTTATCGTTTTACCTGTAATTTTCCTTAGGGTATCTTTAATAATAAAATGCTACCATTTGTGGAGTCCTTACCCTGTGCCAGTTAGTTTGTTAAAACTTCACATAAATGATCTGAATTATCATCATGAGTCTGTGAGGTCGTTCTTATTTTGTACAAGAGAAAACTGATAACATTTAAGTCACTTTTTTCAAGATTGCATAGCTAGTAAAATGATAAATCCAGAACTTAAACCCAAGACTGTCTAGTGTCAAAGTCTGTGCTATAAGGATACTGTTTCCAGTTGTTTCTCTCTCTCTCTCTCTCTCTCTCACACACACACACACACACACACGTTCTAATTTTATATACATGGCACTGTGTTATGCACAGTGGGTATACAAAGATGAGTCTGACACCTCTAGGAGGAGCCCTTTTATTGAAAGGCATTGCTGGGAGTGTACAATGCGTATAAAACATTGTGGAGGCCAGAAGATAAAGTTGTGCAAACTGCTATGGTAGATCAGTGCTAATGTCTTTAAAGAGCATTTATTTATTGGGATTTAAAAGAATTAAAGTGCCAAAGGGTAAACAGACAAATACATGAATGCAATTTTAAAAAGCAATTTTAACATACAATGAACAAATATGATTGAATTATAATTCTCAGAAAGTCAAGTCTGTGTTTCGTTTACCATTGTAGTCCCAGAGTCTAGAACAGAGCCTGACACACAGTAGACACTCAGTAGATATTTGTTTAATGAATGAAACAATGTGAAAAAATGTTCAGCCATGCTTGTAGTTAAGAAGTTCAGTGGAAGTGAGATACTGTTTTTCAGTTGTTAAATGTCAAGTAAAACAAAACAAAAAACAGGTAGATAGAAATAAAATGCAGGAAGAGGTTCAATGAAATACATAGTCAAGCATACATTTCTGGTAGGAGTGTAAATGGACTCACTTCTCTTTGAATGCAATTTTTAAATTTATAATAGTCTTGAAAAATATTCCTAAATTTTGACCTAGCAATTTCACTTCTAGAATCTATACTGGCAAGTCATCCAGAATATGTAAAATACCTTTTACAAAAATATATAGTACATGGTAATATATGTAACACAAAAATTTGGAGTCTAAATATTCAACAATAATAAATGGTTTAGTAAGTCATGACTAATCTCATTAATGAGCTATTATGTAAAATTTACGTAAACGTGTGAAATAACATGGAAAAATATTTGAGCTCAGTGAAAGAAGCAACACATAAAAAATGTACATATAGGATAGTGTCAGTCTATGTAGACAAATAACTGGAAGAAAATGTATCCACAGTGTTGGCTATTTGGGTAGTAGAATATCAAGTGATTTTTTTACTTTGTAAAATTCCTTTAAAAACATATATTAAATATATAAAATTTCTCTTATTTGGAACTATGATTAGTAAGTAAACATCTGTTTACTGTCAAATTATTTAAATATATCTTAATCACCTTTTAAATATTTCAGTATAAAATTTTTTTAGTTACACGAAAGAAAAATTCATTTTTGACTGGTGTTAGAAAATCTGTTTTCTTTTCTGAGTTTCAACTAACTTTACAATTTCTATTCACTACCCCAATAATTTTAGATTTAATTCAAGACTGGTCTAGTGACAGTGCTCCAGACATTTTTTCATTTGTTCCATATACGTGGAATTTTAAAATCATGTTTCATCAATTTGAAATGATTTGGGCTGCTAATCAACACAATTGGATCGACTGCTCCACTAAACAACAGGAGAATGGTAAGACATTTAAAAAATTACGTTAAGCATTCCTCTCATTAAGGCAAATACCAACTAAGAAAATTAGTATAGATTTGATAGTTTTAACAGATAGTAGAAGTTATTTTACCCCATTATCTTTCTGAGACTCTCAGAGGACTGTTTCAGAGTTTGTATTGGAACTAACAATTTTATTTAGTTGTGCATTTTAGGCAGTTTTATAATTGAAACTTTATTGACATTAAAAGTAAATTTACTTTTTCTTCTTTTTTTTCTTTGTAGTGTATCTGGCAGCTTGTGGAGAAACACTAAACATTGATTTTTCTTTGCCTTTTACGGACTTTGTTCCAGCTACATGTAATACAAAGTTCTCTTTAAGAGTATGTATAGTTGAATGCATTATTTATTCCACAAGATGTATTAGTAAGTTTGATTTCCCAAAGCTTGTCTTTACTCTCCCCTACCCAGCCCATTGCCATTCTAAGGTATTTTAGCTTTCCTCCAGTGTCTACTACCTTTAGTGTCACAGAGTTCTTGCTATTTCCTTTTTGTAGTTAACTGGACATAAGACATTGGGCAATTAAAAAATATCTCAAGTTGACTATTTTCTTAGAGTTCTTTTCTGATCTATGTGGTTAATCTATATATTGGCCCTTCTAGCTCTAATGTTTACTAATTCATGTGAACTAATTTTATACTTCACTTTATTTGATTCTTAATTGTAAACATGAATTCAAGGAATAACCACAGTACCTTTCTTCCTTTTATCTGAATGCCAGCTCTTATGTACTTCTAAGCTCAAAATTTTATGGAACATATTTTTTTGGTATGGGCAACCAGTAGTGTTTGTAGTATTAATGGTGGTTATACTGGTAAAATTAGCAACATAATAGAAAACAGCTAACATCTATTAAACATTTTCTGTGTACTACATAGACACTGTTCCATGTGTTTTATGTAATAACTCATTTATTTTTCAGAACAACCCTCTTATAAGTATTATTACCTGCATTTATATATTATAAAAGTGAGGAACAGAACTTTTTTAACTCATCATAAAGCTAGTGAGTTATTGGACAATATAGCTTAGGGCTCCATTCTTTTAACCACTGTACCTTGCTGCCCATTAAGAAACTAGTCATCAAGATGAACAAAGAATAGAAGACCTACAAGGAAAAAAAGTAAAGCCAAATAAAGATCTTTTGATTTGCCAGCTCTGTATTATTAAAAGCCAGTTGAGGAAACAAGACATACTAGAATCAAATGAGACAACACTATTTTAAAAATTAATAAAAATATAGAACATAGTCTACCTGAGCTTATAAAAGTTTTTTTAAAAAATGAACTTCATATAAAATATCTATGGATACCCATGGAAGACATTCTTTTCACTGTTTGGAAACTATGCTGTTTCTCTCCCTGATTATTTTGTTGTTTTTCAATACAAATTTACTTTTAGTCAATGTAAAATCTTATTTCTTATTTTCTTGACTGTTCAGTGTAAAATCTGTCATTTCAAATTTGTTTATCTTACTCGTGTAATGCCAGCACTTTGGGAGCCTGAGGCAAGATGGTTGCTTGAGGCCAGGAGTTTGAGATTAGCCTGGGCAACACAAGAAGACCCTGTTTCTACAAAAAAAAGTAGCACATTCCTCTAGTCCCAACTATTTGGATCACTTGAGCGCAGGAGTTCAAGGCTTCACTCCAACCTCAGTGACAGAGTGAGACCACCAAAAAAAAAAAAAAGATAAATAATACAATAAAATAAAAAGTAATAAAATTTATTTTCTTTCAAACATTTCCAAGATTGTTGTAGACAAGTTTGCCCATAAGTATTAACCAACATATTTATTCACTGATTTTATTACTTTGGATTATTATAATTATTTTTTTAGGGAGAAGATGTTGATCTTCATTTGTTTCTACCAGATTGCCACCCTAGTAAATATTCTTTATTTATGCTGGTTAAAAATTGCCACCAAAATAAGATTATTCATGATACTGGCATTCCTGTTGAGTGTCAAAGTGGCCAGAAAACAGTTAAACCAAAATGGCGCAACATTACTCAGGAAAAGTGAGTACATAAAATTAGTGACACAGGCCGGGTACAGTGGCTCACATCTGTAGTCCCAGCACTTTGGGAGGCTGAGGTGGGTGGATCAGGTGGGTGGATCACCTTGGCCAACATGGTGAAACCTTGTCTCTACTAAATACACAAAAATTAGCTGGGCATCATGGCGCATGCTTGTGGTCCTAGCTACCTGGGAGGCTAAGGCAGGGGAATTGCTTGAATCTGGGAGGCAGAGATTGTAGTGAGCCAAGATCACACCACTGCACTCCAGCTTGGGTGAGAGAGAGAGACCTGTCTCAAAAATATGTAAATAAATAAAATAAAATGTAATTATTGACAAGTATTTTGTGCTTATATGTGGAGAAATAATTCTTCTCCTTTCAAAAAATAATAAAATTTGAATATCTGCAACTGGTATCAAAAGCAATAAGCATCTGACTGGAAACTGTTTTACTATTCAAAGGTCTGGTTGGGTTGAATGCTGGACTGTCCCAAGTGTCGTGCTTACAATTGATTATACATGGCATCCGATTTATCCACAAAAAGCAGACGAACAACTAAAACAGTCATGTAAGTGTTTTTATATAATTTGTACTTTCATACAGCTGCAGTTATGATTGATAATGATGAAAAATAAAAAGCAAATAAAATTGAAACACATCTATTCTCACATAGTATAAATATAATCTTTAAATATTTTAGAGTAATTATAGCTACCTTTTGAGCATTTACTATGTATCAAGTATTGGGCCAAGCAGTTTTCTGGCTTCTGTTATCTCATTTAGTTCTTATAACAACTCTTTGAGAAAGAGGTTATCATTATTTTTATCTTAAAGTTGGGGAAATATGCTCAGAGAAAGCAAATAATTTTCTCATAGTCTGCCAAGCTAGAAGCAGCAGAGCCTGAATATGAAACAAGGTGTAAGTGAATCTATATATTTAAGCTGCATGATTTTGTGAAATGTTAGTTCCTATATCATTTGTAGTTTCCCGAAAATTTGCCATATTACCTGGGTCCAAAAAAGAATTAGAGCCAAATGATGATGTTTTCTTTGTATGTTTCCAGTGAGCTAAGTTTCAAAGGATAGTTTTCATAGTTGTTTCACAGTGGCTTGATAACATCACACTGTGTTTAAATAGCTATTTATATGAAAAAGTGTTGTAGTTTAGTACCCAAGAATAGTTAAGGTCTCGATATGACCCAAATTTATATTGCAGGGACTCAATAAGAATGTTAACAGAAAGATTTCGTTTATTCTCTGCAGGCTGATTTATGTGTTTCATATTTCCATGATATTTATTATTTATTTGCTTTCTTAATTATTGGTCTTTTAGGTCTGTTTTTATTATTATACATTATGCAAGGATTAGTTGATGTCATATTTGCAAAGTAAAATTTCTTAGTGAATATTTCCTTGAAGATCTTCTAAGAGGTCTTTTGTCCCCCACCCCCCAGACATTAATCTTTTTTTTCTTAATTTATTCCAGTGTCAGAAATGGAAGAGACAATGCTATCTGTATTAAGGCCATCTCAGAAGGGATCAGACAGAGTTTCTTCTCCCTCTACTTCTTCACGCCCACCTATTGATCCCTCAGAACTTCCACCTGATAAACTTCATGTAGAAATGGAACTTTCTCCAGATTCTCAGATAACTCTCTATGGACCTCTACTAAATGCCTTTTTGTGTATAAAGGTATGATTCTTAAAAACAACTTACATATTTTTAAATATAGACAAAGCAGTTAAAATTTAATTGAAAATTGAGACCATTTGAAATAGCCAATTAGATTATTTAAAGTGTTGAGGATATACCATATATGTTGACTGGATGTGGGGTACTAGACTCAATTACAAAATTATTTATTAAAAATAGTACTCCTCAGTTCAGCATTCTTTAGTGCATTTAGTATGTTCTAGGAATGGTGCTAGTTGCTATAGATAAAGATGATGTAGCATCTGTTCTCAGGGAGGTAACCTGGAGGGATAGCTAGGATAGATAGATACATGGACAAATTTTAACACATTATAAGTAATATAGTAATAGAAGTACTGCATATATCTGAGAATAATTGGTAATGGAAAAGACTACTTCAATGAATACATTAAAAATAAGTGATAACGTTTTATAAGTAATGAGCAAATATTTGTTTGGTGCTTTATGTGAAAAACTGTAGCAAATATATGAAAATAAGTTTATTTCAGAATGTATCAAACTTAGGTTCTGAAGAAATATGTACTAATTCTTAGAACAAAGAACCAATCAAGTGTTTACTCATTTTGGTATAGTTTTTTCCACTGTAATTGTGTGATTGCATGGTATGACAGCACTTTAAAGTTGATCTCTGTAGAATGATTACGAAGAGAGGCTATTTTTGGATAAATATTTGAGGAGTTCATCAGTTTTCTGGAGAGCACTGTTATTCTTTTGATATTCAACTCGTATGTTTTAAACGCCCCCAACAAATTATCAACAATTCTTGTTGATTTAATCTTTTTTATGGTAACTCCTATAATGGTTCTTGATCCTCACTTATCACCTTTGCCTGTGATTAGAGGAGTTCTCCAACATCACTTTCAACAACTTCAAGAAATTTTGCATTTCTACAGGATCTGGCAGATTCACTTTGGGTATTGAATACCTAGGTGACAAGAGATCCTATAATGTACAGTGATAAAAGTAATTAATTCTGGAGAGGGACCAGGATGTTCAGAGTTGATCAGGGTAGCACAATCAAGGTTTGTTAGTAAAGGCTCTCTGGAGGAAGTGCTGGCTGAACTGGATTTGGAAGGTATATAGCATCTCAATATTTGAGTTATTATATTGTATTTACTAAAAACCACCATAAAGCATTAGATGTTGTAACTTAATATAAAAGATGCAAGGGAAAATGTGGTTAATATTTGTAGATGCCTAGAGTTTCTGTTGGTAACAGACACACTTTTCTTCCTTCTTGTGACCATCGTTTGACCTAAAACGTATGTCAAATATTTCTCCCATTATCTTACTTTCTTGGGATTGCATGTGAATAACTATAAAGGATTTAAAAGGCAATTTTCAAGCTATAGTATTCCTGAAGACGCTGCATTATGTTTTACTTAAATACAAGTAATGATTTAATTAGTAGGTGAGGGTAGTAATAGTGATACAGTATCAGTTTTCAAATACTATTAGAGTGGTAAAGTTACATTTTTGCATTACTGTGTACACATGGAGCCTCAGTTTTATTTTTTAAAAACTGATAGGAACACATATTCACCAAAAATAAGGGGACGCTAACAAACAGAATACATTGAAAGAAATATATGCCTTCATTTTAGACTTCCTTCTAAGTTCTACTCCACAGATGTAGCCATTGCTGATAGATTATTGTTTTCATACAGACTTTTGTGCATTAAAGGCTTTATAACAACTTTTTAATGGTTTCAAGAGTGTGACTGGCCCTAAATATTGTATTAGTATTTACATTCATCTAATTAGCTTAGAACTTATATAAAATATCTATTAAAGCAAATTATAAAATTTTAAATTTTGACGTTTACTACGTATATATGCAAATTGTAAAATTTTAAATTTTGACATGTTTACTAAATATATATATCAAAGACATGACAGACAAAAAATGTGTCTAGCCCAGTGAATTCTATGCTTCCTTTTATAAAAAATTTATGCAATTCTTTAAGTTTCTGGTTTTGGTTTTGTTTTGTTTTTTAAGAGACAGGGTCTTCCCTTGTCGTTCAGGCTGGAGTGCAGTGGCACAATCATAGCTCTTTGCAATCTGGAAATCCAGGGCTCAAGCGATCCTCTACTTTTAAGGAATAGTACTGAAAATGAAAGAAGGCTTTTATCTTTTATAGTGTTAAATTTACTGTGTGTGTTTATTTATAGTGATTTATGTATATAAACCACTCTCATATACGCAATATATATACACACAAACACATGCACACATTTATGCAGACATTTCTTCCTTGAATGTCTAAACTTTTTAAAAAGGTTTCTATATACTTTTTAAATTTCAGCAGACATTTATAAAAAATAATGACTTGGGTTTTGGAATATTGATCTAATGTCCTAGTTCTGGCAATGATTAGATAATAGTCCAATCTACCTCTGAGGACAGGCTTAATTCAGTGCAATAAAACATTTCCTCCCATTTGGGAGTTTAGCCCTGCTGCAAGCATGTAATCAAACTAACTGCAGAGTGGAGAGTCAAAGCAGGAGTCTGGTTCTGTGGGAATGAACTCTGGGCATCTGTGGTTTGTTCAGGCAATTCACACACTACTCATCTTATAATGAAGAGGTGAACCGGAGACTACAGATCATTGCTCAACCACCTAATACTTCTCTTGTTTTGCTTTTAGTCTTTTTCCTGATGCATCCCAGTCCTTCCTGGTTCCTGGTTCTGAGTTCACTTTATCTTTCTCTCTGCTTTCTCCTGACTTTTACAATGTTAATAAAGTCTTGTTTTTTAGCTTGTCCTTCCTTAAGTACTTTGGTTCATTCTACTTTTAGCTGCATTTTGTAGGTAACCATCTCTACTCGTTAGGATCCATTTACATTTTATAGTATTTACATTTGGCCATCACCAAGCCAGGCTGTACAGACAAGGGCATTTGGGTACTGGTTATGTTCAGGCAAATACTTGCTTTATCTTAGACCACAGCAATCCCTAGTCTGCTCACAGGAGTGCCTCGAGTAAAGGAATAAGGAACTTAGCATTTGCAGCCAGCTGAACGGACACAAGAAATAGTGGCTATTGATTAATTCTACCATCCATATTTTCATCCATTATATTACTTGGTAAAAAAAGAAAGAAAATTATCTTTATTTATACATGGCACAACGGTATTCCTTGATAATTGAAGAGACTCATTTTAAAAGTACTGTTATGATGAATTCAAGCGAATGTGATTTGGTGACTGGATACAAGGAAATTATACAAAGATCACCATACCAGTTTGTCGTCATTGTGCTGCTTGTTGTTTTTCCTGTAGCTGTCAGAATTCTTAAATGTTAACAATTAAGTCAAGCTATTTTAAACAGAAATAAAATGTGTTAAAAGACATGAAAACTCTGGCAGGACCAGAAAATCAGGACTGGCATTTCATCAGAGAAAGCTCCCAAATTACTCCACAGAACTGCAACAGTGGAGTCACCATTTCCATCTTCCCTGAGCACAGACATTGCGGCTTGCCTCACCAACCCAATGGAAGTAAAGCACTATATGTCCCAATGAGAAAATCTGCCTCTGCAGGCTTCACATATCAGCCTCAAACTGATACGTGGAGATGCCAGAATACTTCAGTACATCTTTCTATGTTATTAGCTTCTGAATCCAAGTCTGGAAAATTATAACTAAGTGGCAAAGCCAGAGTCAAATGCCTAAGTTTCAGCTACAAGGGAGGCTAGGATATATCTATAGAGGAGAGAGTCTTTACTGCTCACCAAGATACATAAAGTGGGAAATTCCTCAAGCTTCCTGTGCATCTGGATGGCCATAGAGAATGAGAAATGTCTATTGTAGTTCACTTCTTTAACTGTCCAACAACAGCATATGACCTTCTTCTGTATTTAATCTTCCCAATCACAACAATAATGGTCTCATCTTAAATCACAAAACTATTTACCCCAGAAAAACGTATCCATGCTCCCCAAAACAAAGTCTCATTGGGTATTTCATCCAGCTCCATATCTAGGCTCACTGTGTAATGCCCAATCCTCTTCTTCGTCTGTATATTGGTATTCTGCATACAATACCCTACATAAAATTACATCAAAAAAGTAGATGGATGAAGAATATATAATTAAAATATATTATATGTATGACACACCAACGAAAAAATGCCCATATTTAAACTTCCAAGTAATAACATGCTTCTACCTAACGTAATGCAACTAGCACAGAAGTATGCTAACTGTCTCCCCAAAAAGGGAAGGCCCAGAGCCCATAAGTTGCTGTGTCCATGTTTGAGTGATACTTACTCTTCATGGTATTTAATTACAATTCTATTTTGCTCTCCTGGGTAGCCCAAGTTATATTATAAGGTTAACTCCAACACACATAATATAAACCAGTAGTGGGGTGGGGGGAAGAAAAGGGAAATTAATTAATATATTAAAATATATGCATACCAAGATGAGAAAGAATATGTATAGACATCACAATCCTCAATTCTTCAACTAGATATGAGCTGCATTTAGTAATTAAAATTTTCCATTACCATCCCATAATCTTTTTGTCTTCATCATCCTGACCATGTTGTTTTTTTTTTTTCCTAGGTGTTTCCCAGGCTGGATTAATTCTGTTCAGTAGTATTCAGCAAGTGTCAGATAACGCTTGCTGGAAAAGAAGCCCCCAGTGTGAGGCTGAGCAGGTAGGATGTGGGAGACCAGTTCCATCTGCTGCTGACACCTGTCCCATCCATACTCAGGCCTTCTCAAGTCCCATCTCCTTCTTTCCTACAAATACCTGGAGGGACCCACTAGAGCAGGATGAGTTCTGGTGACTGTGACTGCATGTGATGGCTCTACAGAGAAGAAAATGGGCCTGCCTGATTTGTTCTCAGAAGCCAGTGCAATGCCTGACTCATAGTTAGAAGGCAAGGTGAGGTTTGGGTCACAGCATAGATCCGGAGCTGTACAAATCTAGATATGAAGACTATCTCTGATTCTTTGTGAGCTCTGTGAACTTGGCCAGACTTCTTAATGTCTCTGAGCCTCAGTGCTTTGTAAAATAGGCATTTAAATGGCAACTCCTTGTTCAGCATGGCTCTGGGACACAGTGAATGTTCAATATATTCAGTTAATATTATTTCTTTTTACTACTATGAGCACAAAATAAATATTTTTTAATGAATAAGTGAACCTATATTCAGGGAACCTGGAGTCCCTAGCTCAGGCTGAGTGCCAGAGTCTGTCCCCAGCCTCTGACAATTTTGTTTTGTTCCTAAAGAGAGGTCTGGGGCTGAAGAGGGATCCTGCCCCATAGCCCCATCTATTGTCTTGGGCCCAGGCTACCTCCTCTGAGCTTCTGCATGTCCTGTTTTTGGCAGTGTTTGGGGTCTGCCTTAGAGGTAAGCATGTCTCTAGGAACAGAGGGCTACCACTGGTTCAATCATTAATCTGACCACCACCCAGGGGCTCAGGCTGTTGGACCCCACTCTGCACCCTAAGGTTTCCCTGCCCCAGCCCTGGCTGAGATGTAGATGTCAGACCCAATGCCAACTTCTGCACCTGTTCTCTACGGACAGATGGCTGCCCTCTCTAAATGGGCTTTTCCTACTTCGGTATTAGCATACCTGAGGGCTAGGCTATATAGCAGGGAAGGAAATAAGACTGATTCACTGAAAATCCGTTTGCCACAGCCAATTTGTAAATGATTGAACCACCAAATTATTGAGAATTGATTTTTGTTTTAGTTTTAGCATCACTTTCTGATGGGTATTTAACCACAGAACAGCCTGCCCAGGTCAACTGCACGTGAAATCCTTGTCTATTTCACAGTTCAAAGGCAGAGCACTTCTTAAGTGGAGATCAGTTAACTGTGAACAGTTGGACTTTCTCGTAGTTTCAGCTTCCCATTGTCTTTACTTTTAGGTACATTTGCCTTACACTTTGAGTAGCTTCTAAGTCCACTTTTACACATGTTTCTTGCTCTGACAGGAAGCTGTCTGCAGCCACCCAGCCTACATATGTTTAAGTGTTGGACAGTGTTCAGGGAATTGGCCATTCAGTAATTTGATGATTCCGCAAATGGATTTTCAGAAAATTAACTCTTGGTGAGTTGGCTTTTGACAAATTAGCCATTCAATAAATTAGTTTTCATTGAATTGACCTAGATCCATTGACAATCTAAGTTCCCAGGTAAAAGAATAGAATACTAACTGGTAGCAAAGAAAGAGTGAGTCACATTTTTCTTGTACTCTTATTAGGACTCACTAACTCCTAATCACTGTGTGTACTTATATGCAAGTGCACACACACACACACACACACGTGTGCGATCTTTTAACAAAGCATGCAGTGGCCATGTTACAGCAGCCAGTCTGTCTGAACTGATCCAGAAGTCCAGAAGACAAAGGAGAGGGAATGAGGCCACTTGTCCCATTGCCAGCTAAAAACCAGAGGCTGTGGAAGCCTGAATCCACTCAAGAGTTAGTTGCTGGGAAAAAACGATACCTGGCCAGGCGCGGTGGCTCACGCCTGCAATCCCAGCACTTTGGGAGGCCGAGGCGGGTGGATCACGAGGTCAAGAGATTAAGACCATCCTGGCCAACATGGTGAAACCCTGTCTCTACTAAAAATACAAAAATTAGCTGGGCATGGTGGCGCGTGCCTGTAGTCCCAGCTACTCAGAAGGCTGAGGCAGGAGAATTGCTTGAACCCGGGAGGCAGAGGTTGCAGTGAGCTGAGATCGCGCCACTGCACTCCAGCCTGGCGCCTGGTGACGGAGTGAGACTCTGTCT